ATAGAAAAGTTTTGTCCTGTTTGTTCTACTCTCTTTCCTATTCCCATCACACCTCCCTTCCCTTCATTCCCCTTTGTCTAATCCAATGAACTTCTATCCTTTCCTTTCCTCTCCTACTTATCGTGTGTTAATATCGGCATATTAGAAAGAATAGTTATCCTTTGTTTTTTGGGGATTGGCTTATTTCATTTGGCACGATAGTTTCTATTTCCATCTATATATGGACAAGTGTCATAAATTCATTCTTCTTTATGGATGAGTAAAATCACATTTTTTTTAACCCATTCATCTTACTATCCTTTGTTTGATAATTTATTTAATACTTTTAACAGCCCCTATAGTAGATAATGCATTGTAAAATAACAGACCTATTGGATGGCCCCTTTTACTTGACTCATGCTTGCAGATCCTAATGAAACCTTTTGTTCAACAAATAATGATTGCTGTTGTTTCCTCCAGTCTCTAAGGATGTAACTATTGTTGGAAATTGATAATTCAATTAAAAATATGATTAGGTGTTCTGTTTTCTAATCTTCTGTTCCATCCATGCTCACTGAAAAAAAAAAAAAAAGGATTTGCTTGCCAAAAGTTTTGTGACTATATTCTCTTCTACTGATTTATGATGCATAAATTCATATTAAAACTTAGTAGTTCTGCTTTGCTAATGCTAGCATTTTCCAAATTGATTACATGACACATATTTATTGTTTTTCCATTAATTGAAAAAAACAATTGAGTTATTTTAGAATAATTGGTACATATTGGTTTATGGTTTCTATTTCTCTCCTGTCATTAAATCTTTTTATTCAAGAGCAAGGAAAGGTAACAATATAAATGAGTAAGATTTATATTGGAGGAGTACTCTGGTGGGAATCGTGGAATCTAGGGCCTCTCAAATTTACCACATTGGTAGCTATTTGCTCTCTTTACAGCAATTTTTATAAAAAATATTACTTACCCATGGATTCTCATCCCACATTGATTTTTAAAAGATTAAATATAGACTCACTAGATAAAAGTGACTATATTTTAATTTTCCTATTTCTCTCTTCCTCCCTCTTTCCTTTCTTCCTTCTCTTTCTTTCAAAATTGCACCACTGACCAACTGGAATATTTGAAAGTGTCCAGATGTGCAGTCAAATTATATGAAAGAATTTGAAAATAATTTGGATAGTTTTGATTACAAAGTAAGCCTGTGAGTAAGATCATATGAATCCTTGTGTTATCTATTATAAAACATTTTCAAAACAAATCGGAAAAGGGGAGGTAGTCAGGGTACTTGCATACACAGAATTTGGAGTTAGAGTAGCTCTGTTACATCCAACTAAATTATGAATCTCTCTGAGACTCAGTTTCCTTGGCTATAAAGACAGTAAGAGAACTTACAAAGTTGCTGAGAGGTTTAATAAGTGTAGTACAGTGGTTAACAAAGGTATACTAAGCACTAAAGAAGTTTGCTATTATTTTAAATCTGCATAAGAACATAAACGTTCAATTCAGTTGTCTCTGATAAAAAAGCAAACTCAAAAAATTAAAAATTAAAGGGATATTAACCATCTGTCTTCTTTCTTTTGTGGCACTGGGATTGAACCTAGTGGTGCTCTACCATTGAGCTCGGTCCCCAGCCCTTTTTATTTTTATTTTGAGATAGGGTCTTACTAAGCTGGGGGCTGGACTTGAACTTGAAATTCTCTTGCACCAGGCTTCCAAGTAGCTGGGATTGCAGACTTGCACCACCTTGTCTGACATTTAACCATCTATATTTTAAAAATCAACTACATTTTCCATAAACTTCTTTCCTTTTGTAATTCTGAGTAAGAACTGACCAAACAAAGGAATTGCATAAGATGTGAAGGCAAAATGGAAATAGAATTTATTAATCCAAAAGGCCTTTAGGAGTCATCCATAGTGTACAGTGGGTAGAGTGTTATTTTAATTCTTACCTGTAGTCTCCTGAAGTAAAATACATTTAAAGGGCAAGTCAAAGGAAAAGCTTATGGAAGTCTAATAAGTTTGACTTGAGTCTGTCTTCAAATGGGGCCTAGGAGTTCCCCCCTCCTCACAGATATTGTCTTAATGCTGGGAGGTATTTGGCATAGACATACTCAGACATTGATAGAACCCCTGCCCCTCATTAGTGTTAAGATTGTTGGAACAAGAGCTTGTATGGTGGTAATGTTGATGGAAGTTCCTAGAATTCAAAATTAAATCAATAAATGCTTCCCTGAAGGGGTTTCAGAATTTCCTCTACCATTAAGAATTAGAAGGATGCAGGGGTAGTAAATTATCATTCCTTTCTTAAAAATATTTATTTTTTAGTTGTAGTTGGGCACAATACCATTATTTTACTTTTTTGTTTTTATGTGGTGCTGAGGATTGAACCCAGATCCTTGTCTGTGCTTGGCAAGAGCTCTACCACTGAGCCACAGACCCAGCCCCTAAATTATCATTCTTTTTGCCTATTATTCTCTGAAGATAGAGGATTTGAAGAAATACATTGGTTTACTACAAACAATCAGATGGTGCCCCCAATTTCAGTTGTGATTACATATATATTATAAGAGCAAATGAATATTTTGGGGGACCTAGAAGAAAAATGTTAAATTATTTTATTAGTGAAAACATCACCAGCAGTTTGGTTTAATTCAGCAATTATTTCCACTGTCTGAACTTAGGGCTTTCTAACCCACAGGGGCCACGGTCTCTTCTATATTGCATATGATAACATATTGGTCTACCTCAACAATGATTTCATGTTGATTGGATTTGGTGAACAGGAAGTTGTAGCTAATAATACTATATAGACACCTTAATAATATTTATGAGTGCCAGAATGTGAGTTAAATCCTTTAAAATGTTGGGGACTTTATACCTTGATAAAATTTCTAGGATTGTTGAGATATGGCTTTTAAGGTGAAGGACAAGTTTCTACCCCTGGCCCTTTCTAAGAAAGAGATATTAAAAAAAAAAAAAAAAAAACCCAGTTGGGCAGCTGCAGTAATTTAAACCTCATTTGGGAATGATGTTTTCTGAGACTTATTAATGAGTAACTGTAGACTTTCAGTTTTGTGTGATGCACAGAATAAGAGGTGAGTCTACAACCAGTCCAGGCTTCTGTTGAAGATATTATGCTCTGTTTTGACTGTATGGCACTTAAAGAATCACTCAAACATGAAGATCCTGGATGGAGCTTCTGGAAGGTTCCTATTGGTGAATCATAGTAAAGTCTCTGGGATTTTGGAGCAAAGCTGTGCAGTTTTCTACAAATAATTCTTTTTGCTCTCAGAAGCCATTTTGGGCTTGCTACTAGATCTTAGTAAATGCTAAATGCTTGGCTAAATGTCACCAAATTCTCATGTAACCTTTACTGCTGATTTTAAATTTGATAATGAATGATACTCACTATGCACTGATTACCTGAGTACATCATTACAATCATCAAGTGTACCAGATTAATCTTGAGCACATTCTGAAAGCATAAATAAATTCCAAACAGATTTTATTACTAGGGATCCTACTATGGTTGCATTGCCTCCTTTCTTCCAACTCATACCTACCTAAGGTCTCATGGAGTCTTTCTCATGACTAATTAACTGAGATAGAAAAATATCTAGGTTTGGTTTGCTAATAGTTCTTTGCAATAGACTAGAATCACTCAGGTTTATAGCTGTATTCTACACCTGCACAGAGAGGTGATATTACATGGGACTACTAAGAAAAATTCTTAATCCTTTTAGTTAGAAAGAATGTGTGTCTGGCTATTCACTTTGTCTGAAAGGAAAAATGGCCAGAAGCATGATATACAGTAATTTGTGCTTTGCAGCTCAAGATTTCCCTGCTTTGGCAGGCACTTGGAGCATGATCTAAAAATTAGTGACAAGGAAATCTGTGGGTGGGTGGAGTATGTAGATGAACATCCTCGAATAGCCTACATACTTATATTCCATTTGACTGTTTACCAAAGAGCTCACTTGGGAGAGAAGGATAGTAATTATCAAGTAGGTAAGATGATGTGTCTTATAGATGTTTGCCAATCTCTTTCACCAGCCACCTTTATACTTAATCAATGGGCTTATGGACAAAGAAACAAATGATAGCAGGAGAAGAAATTATGCATGGATTCAGCAACATGGGCTTCCTTTCACTCACCAAAGTTCGTCTAGATAAAGTGTCTGTTGAGGGTTCAAGGTAACAATTGCAGAGAAGATATGGAGCCATTCTGAAAAAGGACAGGCCACCTTGATGGTAGATTGATTACATTAAATTGCTTCTATCAAAAGAGATGCAATGGCTTATTCTCACAGAAATAGTCACTTACTCTGAATTGAGATTTGCTTTCTCAACCTGCTATGCTTCTGTCAAAATACCATCTGTGAACTTAACAAATGTTTCATTTACTGATTTGGTATTCCACACAACATTGTTTCAGTTCAGAGAACTTGTTTAATAACAAATAAAATGTGGCAATACTCATGCTCATGTAAATTTCCTACCAGTATCCCTTTCACCCTGAAGCAGATGGCCTAACAGAATGATGCAATGTCTGTTTTTTAGAAAATTTACTTCTGGCACTAGCTAGTAGAAAATACTTTGGAGGTCTGAGGTAATATCTTAGTTCTAAGATGCTGTATATGTTCTAAATCATTGACCAATACGTGGTGCTATTTCTACCAAGACTCATAGATTCAGCAATCAAGGGATGGAATTGTGATTGCCTTCCTTATTAGTTTACTTTTCTTCCTTCTCTTATTCACCTACTGTCTTTCATAAGATGTATGGATACTGGTTAATGTTACATTTCAGCAATTAAGTCAAAGGAGTTCCATAATTAGGAAAAATCTAGAAACCAAACTTCCCCAATGTTAAGACTAATTAATTAAATGTAGGTGAAAATAATGAAAGAAGTGTCAAGTACTGTGAAAGTTTTGAGGTCTTGCCCTACTCATAATATATCAAATTCATCAGTCATTTTTTAGAGCAGAAGACACAAGACTCCTGGGTTAGAGACAAAGGATTTTATTACTCACAGCAATAAAATTGGCCAGAGAATCTGCATTTCCTTGCACTGGTTCTCTGAGCCCCAATTCACACAGGGTAACATGAAGAGAACCAGGTGACATCTGCATGTGTAGGAAGGCTATATTATAATAAAAGAACCTCAATTTTAGAGAGCCTGAAAATTTAAAAACGGGAAGCAAGCATGTTTGCCCTTTATTCCAAAGAAATATACTACCTCTGTCTTCCACAATGGTTCATTGTATAAAAGTTCTTTAGAAGAGACTTCAGAACAAAAGCAGACAGTGCCTTTTCTTGCCAAACATGTGGAAGTGTGAGAGATCTATGAAGAATTGTCTCCCAAAAGGAAGTTTTACATATTTTATTGAAAAATCTAAGAAACCATGTGAATCATGTACAATATTTTCTCACGAGAAAAATTCTAAGCTGGCTTTTGAACGTTTCACAGAATTGTAAAACTTTTTATTTTTTAAAAGGAAAAAAAAACACAATGAAACTACCATAGTATTATATGCTTTTCGTCTTTTCTGATCCTAAGGAAAAGGCTGAAAAATATTCAGTAAGTTTTCTCATTATGATTTGTGAGTCTAAGCACTATACTCTTTCATAAATCTGCTAAACGGACACAAGGAAATGGGTGGATCAATGCTTTCTTTGCTCAAAATATTTAAAAAGCTAAAATCTAATGACAACATGATAAAATAATACACATTTTTGTAGGATGTTATCATTTCTAAAACAGTTTCTCTACACTATATCAACAGTGCAATGGTGATTCAGTGTAAATCATTACAGTGTTTCATTGTTACAATACTTGTGTTCAAGTACATGTTCATGAACATGATCAAAGTCTCTGCTTTGACTTTCTTTCCATTATTAAAATAAGGTTATAATTACAGTAGAATTTTTCCTATGGATGTCTCTAAATCTGAACCAAATTCATAATACATTCTCTAAAAACCTGTTCAACACTATGAGGTTTCTTATGTTTACACATCTCCTGCAGATTACAGAAAATGGGCTAATTCTGCAGCAGGACATAAAAGAAAAAGAACCATGATTTTCTCCATATATAACTAAACTATGCTAAGGTAGTATAAGCACTGTATAACTCAATGGTATTAGTGGAAAGTAGCACCTTAGAGACAGCCCTAACTTTAACTTAAAAAAAAAATGTTTTTAATTCTAATGATCTTTTTTTTTATTATTTTCTTTTTATTAGGGCACTGGATCCAACTTATTCATTCATATAAATTTTGCCTTATAGTATAAATCAAAATGTTTGTATTACCAAAACAAATACCACATTGGATGTTTGGCAGGGAAAAAATAAATTAATTTGATTAAATTATATGTAATCTGCTAATATTTGGTCTGAAAGATATGCTAGTGTGTGTGCTTATAAATAATGTAACTGCAAAGAAATGTGAGCCAGCCAGCCAGCCTGCTAGAGGTCAACTCTTCTGCTGTAGCTTTTGGGCATAGAAGTCCCTGCACGTCTCACAGCAGCGCTGATACCACCGCATGTCCTGACAGAGGTTTTTCTCACGGATCACTCGGCAGTATACGGGCCACTGATCACCCAAGCACTTGAAAGTCAGAGCAGCTGTGAAACAGAACACAACAAGTTCAATAATAAGTTAATAGAAACCAATTTCAGTCACTTATTTTATGCATTCATTTTGACTCATATATATTACCTTCTGGAATGCAAAAGGCAAAGACATACATGCACATAGACCTCCCCCGAACACTATAATAAAGGAATAAAGGGAATGAACAGTATTCTTACTTATTAACTTTTAAAAGCTTCCTAAAGATAGATTTTCCAGATTCAATGGGTGGTACTTGTCAGTTTCCATGTTATGCCTTTCATTTAAACTTATTTTGGAATTTGGTAGAGAAGATTAAAAAGAAAAATGCATCAGTGCATCCACCTCTGTGGGAATGCAAGTCAATAAGTGTTCTTATGAATGAAATTACTAACAGACAGCAAAATGAAAATATGCTCACATTTATTTCACATTCCTAGTTTTCTATATGACAGATAATTATAGGTGAAATATCTGGAGATAATGTCTTCAGGCCTCTGTAAAATCAAAGCTGATTGTTGCAAGTGACTAAAATCTGTAATAACAATAAAAGTATTTAAAAAGAGAATCTGGTATCAGAAAATTTGGTCATGTAGATCTCATCTCAGTTTTTCAGAAATAGTGGAGAAAATGCAACTGTAACAAAATTCTTCTCTTAATCCTTTTTTTTTTTTTTTTTTTTTTTTGCTAGATGATACTTCAAAGACTCCAAGTAATTATTGGAGAAAAAAATTGTGCTGTTATGGAATACATGAATTTAGATCATCTACTTTAGGATTGCTTAACTTTTGTCTTAATTATTATCATTTTACTTGAGCTGATTATTTCTTAGAAATGTTAATTATTTGGCTCAGAAAAGAGAGTTTTTGTATTTCCATAAAAAACCCAAATTTTTCCATTTCATTGACTTCTATGCTTTGGAAAAAGTACATTTTGTAATTTAGCTCCTTGTATTTTGGCAATTATCCTTCACAATTTAAATGGTTTTTCTGGAGGTTATATGTACAGGTTAAAACTCAAGGTATTAAACATAAATTCACTCACTGACAACCATGTAGGAGAGCTGTTAAAAGACACAGAAATAAAAACTAATTCATTCATCAGTATTTTTCATGAAAACACAGGCTACATCTAGTTAAAATGCACACTCTACTTGTTGATAATAGATTGTATTAAATAATAGGAATTGAGAATAAATATGGAAACATTTCATAACATAATAACTATATAAATATCTGAATATTACTAGCATTTTAAGATATATGATTATATCCTCAATGATGAAAAAAATGATACCTCTTGTCCCATGGTGTAGTTCTATTCACCTGTTCCTCATGAAAGCCAAGTTTTACTCTGTGTCTTCTCAAAGATAATTTGTACCCAGGATCACAATGAAGGCTGTTAACCATGGGAAGTCTGAGGCTTATAATGCAACCTCACTTTTCCACAGGTATTAACTTACATGATCTTTCTGCCTTGACACTGGTCTGAAGTTAAAATTTGGTTGCATCCTGTTAACTCTTTACAAAGTGATCTTGGGTGGTAAGGCATTAATATTTCCTAGACCTGACTCTGTGTAGACACCTTCAGGATCCAAAGCAATTTACTCTTTAGGATTCTTTTTTACCAAACTGGCCATTTAGAGTAAACCATATCTAAATAGATTGAACTTATTCAGGACCAAACTGGGCAGTATAACTTCAAAGTGCTCAAGCTTTAAAGTAATGTGCAAGTGGAAGAGCATTTTTATGTGTTATGTTTTCAATGAGGGGTGTCTCCCAAAAGCTCACATGTGAGACAATGCAAGAAGATTTGTAGGAGAAAACTTACACTAATCAGTGAATTGTTACCTGGTGGGATCAACTGAGTGGTAATTGGAGGCAGGTGGGATGTGGCTAGAGGAAGTAATTCATTGGGACATGGCTATAAGGTAGACATTTTCATCTGAGAATGGTGTCTCTCTCTCTTCCCTTCCTGGACACCATGTGAGCTACTTCGCTTTGCCACACTCTTAAACTATAATATTCAACCTTACCTTGAGCCCAAGGGAATGAAGCCTACTGTTTACGGATGAAGACCTCTGAAACATGAGCCCCTAAATAAACTTCTCCTCCTCTATAGTTGTTCTGGTTAGGTCCTTTTTAGCCACAGAGCGAAAAAGCTGACTAAAACATTATGTTTCTCAGATTTATCCAGTTTTGGTCACTTACCTAGTCTAGGTGATGTTATCGTATTTACATTAATCTTCTCATTGCAGGGCTGAAGGTGGCATGGCCTATATGCTGCAGGTTTTTCTGAAGAAAAACATTCATTTCCATGTCTTCCTGTGATCTTATGCATGCACTGGATGACCCTGGACTGCATTCCTTTGCCACAGGTAATTGAGCACTAAGAGAGATACAAGGTTTGTTAAAAGTTCTTTTGTTGTTTCCCTTTCCTACACCATTAGCCATATTTTCTATATATTTCTTAAAAATCAATCATAAGCATCAACATCCAGAAACAATGCAAAATATGAGTCAGAAACATAGATGTTTAAAACTTGGGTACAATATTGCTAAGAACCTCTGAGGTACCTAGGGCAGAACTCTGGGTATTGAAGGACATTGAAGAGTAATAAAGAAAATTAGAGAGTATGGTTTGAAGGGAAAGAGAGTGAATGACACCAGAAATGCTTGGGCAGACAGTTTTTAAAGATCTAAGATTTAAATATAAGAAGCAATACAAATAATTAAATGCTGTGGAAGCTGAGCAATTTTACATATTCTTAGCCAACTGGTCAACATTTAAATAATGAGTTGCCCTACAAAGCTACTGTTTGCTTCTTTGGGATCAAAGCAGTACCCCTTCTGTAAGCTTTGATTCCATACAATACTAATAGTAGTTAGCACTTATTTGGCATTTATTATATGCCAGGCACTTGAGTTAGAGGTTATATTTATTTTAATATCTCACAGGATGCCCATGAGTACTATTATTATCCCTTTAAAACAGATGAGAAAATAGAGTTTCAAATAAGTTAAACAAATTGTCCAAACTTTTACAGCTAAAAGGTGCTAGAATTGGAGTATGAACTTAAACATATGAATTCCAAGTTTGGATACCTAAGCAGTACTTGATACTGGCTGATGGCTAATGTTCCTCTTCTGGTGAAACAGAAATCTTTTCTTTTCCTCCATCCTATCAAATTTATCTTTTATCTTCCTATCTTACTATTAAGCTAAACAATGAACTAGAAGGGGTTTTTTTGTGTTTTTTTTTTTTGGCTTTGTTTTGCTAAAATTCAGGTTACGTAGCATGAAATAAATTATTCTGCTACAATTCATATTGCCTCATCTTTAGATAGAGTAATCACATAATTTGTTACCAAATCAAGAAATTGTGGAAGAAATTGTTGATGATAATTATTCCTAAACTATAAACATATAATGGGGCAGTCTTGGGAAAATTAGGATAAACAGTCACCCTATCTACAGATCACGTAGAATATCCATGTATTAAACAATAAACACAAATGAATGGCATGTGAAATACCTCATATTTTCTGGGCATTATCTAGTATGCATTTTTAGAGAACTTTTTTTTCATAATGCAAAGAGTGAGTCACATGCAAATTAGTTAACTCATTCATTCAACATGCCTGTACAAGAAGCTGACATTGTGCCGAGCACTGTTCTAGATACTAGGATGTGAGAGTCACAAAACAGAAAAGAACAAATACCCTTGAGAAGCTCACATTTCATGATCAAGGGAGGAACAAAAATATAAAGAGGTAAAATATAAGTATTTTACATAAGATAGAAGTATTTTACATGTCAGCAGGTATGATGAAGAAGAATAACTCTTAGAATGGGGAAAGTTTGGGAAGGATTGTTTGCCATTCAAGTAGTATGACCAGGGAGAGATTCATGCAGAAGGTGACATAGGAGAGAGCAGTCTATCATAGACGTCTTTTGATTCCAAATATTATGTTCTTTCCATCATATGTAATATAAACTTTTAATTTATATACCTGTGGGCTTTGGTTTCTTTACTGTATGCTTTCATCTATATAATTGGGGCCACGATTCTCCTAGTTGCTTAATATGAAGGGTGAGTACCTGGAGTGTTTCATCAGATTCTGGATCAGTTTCTATCCCCCCTTGTCCTGCCTTACTCTCCTTCCTTTCTTTCAGTCTTGCTTTCCAGTAAATTTGAATCTTGCTCTTCACATATATATCAAGTAAATTGAAAATGTATCTGAAACAAGGCAGCACTGTAGACTTTCACCAAAGGACAAAATACTGAAATGTCAACATCAATTTACCAGCAGCTGGTAAAGAAACACCAGATAACTTGCCATGGATATTTTTTTTTTTTCAAGGAAAAATTGCTGACTACAGTATTTTAAAAAGACAGCCTTGTATTGTCTGAAAAATATTCTGTTGCCCCGAAGGACCTTTGCAACAAAACACCTCATGAATGAATTCATGAACTAGAAGTCTTTCATTCTGCCCAGGAAACAGTCCTGATATTCCAGGTTTACTAGAGTAAAAAGGAAGTAGTAATCTTTAAAAGAAACTAAAACAGGTTAGAAAATTGTTTAATAATTTTAGAGCTCAGGAGATTGATTTTTTCTGTCAGAGATAATAAGGCACAAGGAAAATCAATGTTAGTAAATCCCTCCTTCCTCTCTAAATATAAGCCCTCAAGTCTCTGAAAATAAAATTTGTTTTGACTTGGTGATATTTCATTCTACCTGAGAAAATTATAATCTTCCTTATACTTGGATACTCATGAGTGATATGTTGAGATAATCTCAACTTATGTTTCTCTAATAACAGAATAGATCTTTTCTTGCCTTGGGAATTAGTGACAATTTCTAAGGCTATATTATATAATATCTGCACTGTAGCTTGCATGTTAAACACTAACTACAATAAGAAAAATCTGCTCAATATTTTGAACAGTTTGGAATATCAAAATGATTAGAGGAATAGTTTGGGAAAGGAGATCCACACATCCAAATGTCAGCAAATCAACCTGGTAATAACAATAATTCATCTCCCTTTAAAATGAGGTAGACATCATCAACTTTTATATCACTTCCATTATTTAAATCTCTACTTTATTTCTGTGATTCTTATGCAATTTTATGAGAGTTGATTGATTTGATTTTGCCAAAGAAAATTTTATCAAAAGAAATTAATATAAAAGGATCCATGTGGGGAAGAATATACAATGTCCTAGTTTGTGGAAATACAGAGTAAATTTTACTTATCTCAGATGTTATATTTTTTATGAAAATGACCAAGCATGCTCTAGTAATTGACACAAAGGTGAACTTTGGGGAAATTATTTCTGCCAAATTAGATGACAGCATTGAGAAGAAAGGGTCTGCCCATACTGACAAAGAAAGGCCAGTATGTCAGAATGATTTAACGAGTTTATAGATTCGTTAAAATATAAACAAATGATAGAAAGTAGAAATTTATAGAAAACAAAAACAATAAAATTCTTAATAAATGCTTAATTGTGACATCAAAAAAAAATTTAAAAAGAAGGGGCGAGATGAATTCTGCATGCCCATGAAATCCAACATTTGGACAAGGCAAAGTGTGAAATCCTCTTTTCTATTATAGAAGATAAAAGAATTGTGAAGCACTGACAGATAGTTGAACTGCAGCAAGAAAATGAACGTGGAGGTTCACTCGTAGAAAGTGTGACGAAGATCTTGAATGAACCCCTGAACACCCTGTAGGTGTTCTCAAGTAATGACCATTTACTTGGAGACATTTATTGCTCTCATAGTTTCTGTATGTTCAAAAGCAGTCAGTGCATGCTGCTGAGAAACTGTAGTCTGATGAAATTAAAGTTTCTGAAGTCTGATCTGATGCATTTTAGAAATGGAGGATGATTAGGTCTAAGTCATGGTATAATTAGATGGGATAAATAACTTGTTGAGGAAGCAAGTGCTAAATAGAAGATATCAATGTACTGTGTTGCTAAGAGTCAATTATTTTACATGGAATATTCCTTTTTCAATATATTTAAATTTTTATCAAAAATTCCACATCTTTTGCTGGGCATGGTGGTGCATGCCTGTAATCCTAGCAGCTCAGGAGGCTGAGTCAG